CACACAGATCCCCCCCTACAGATCCCCCCAGCACATGGGTACCCCCAGCACACAGGTCCCCCCAGCACACAGGTCCCCCCAGCACACAGATCCCCCCAGCACACAGGTCCCCCAAGCACACAGATTCCTCCAGCACATGGGTTTCCCCAGCACATGGGTCCTCCTAGCATGTGGGTGCCCCCAGCACATGGATCCCTCCAGCAGAGGCGAGCTGCGGCTCAAAGTCTATGAGACAGACCCATGAAAGACGGAGATGGCGCTTGTCTTCCAGAGAGAAGGGGCAAAGGCGCTGAGCTTGGCCTTCACTCTGTGCTCCTGGGAGACTCTAACCAGGCTGAACCCCTGCTGAGCGATGACCACAAACCTCTGAAGAAGGAAGAAAAGTGGGACCCGGACCCCAGAGACCCTGGTGGGAGTGCAGCTATGTGGCCTCCAGGTGTTTGGAGGATTTCAAAGGCACAGATCCAACCAGCCATGGTTGGTGGAGTCCAGGTGGAGGCCTTCCCTTCTGTGGCCAGGCAGGGTGGACTGTGACCCTGGTCTTTTTACATGCCGTTATTAGCAGCACAGCCTCTTCTCCGCAGCGTGCGGGGGTCTTCCATCCTCCCACTTTGCAGAGCTGGATCTTTGGAGCTGCACTGTCAGAACAGGACAGAGGGGCTGGTGCGGTGGGGCGGACACACAGCAGAGACCCTGCACACACAGCCGGGACCCTGCACACACACACAGCCAGGACCCTGCACACACGCACAGCCGGGACCCTGCACACACACACAGCCAGGACCCTGCACACACGCACAGCCGGGACACTGCACACAGACACACAGCTGGGACCCTGCACACACAGCCGGGACCCTGCACACACACACAGCCCGGACCCTGCACACAGACACACAGCCAGGACCCTGCACACACACACACAGCCGGGACCCTGCACACACGCACAGCCGGGACCCTGCACACATAGGTGCTGCCTGCACCCCACCTCCTCTGTGCCAGCTTTGGAAGCTCTTGGGCCCAGTCCTCCCAGGCCACCTCCTTCAGGGAAAGCTGACATCGTCAGAGCAAGCGGCTTTGCATGGCTACCAAGCTGTGTGTCCCTGCCCTTCTCTTTGTGTTTGCCTTGAACTCACTGGCCGCGTCCTCAGGGGTTGGATGCGGAGGGCACCTTGCTCAAGGATCTTCGGATCCAAGGCCCAAGTCCAAGAAGGTGCATCCTGGGCAGAGTGTCAGGGGCCAGAGTGAGATACACCCAGGCCCTGGCTCCCAGTTCCTCGCCCACCCACTCCCTCATTCTGCCCTCCCGGCTCAGTCAACACTGGCTGTTTTCTTGGGATGTCAACTTGGAAGGTCCTGCCTGGGACATGGAGGCTTGGGAATCTGAGCCTCGGATTTCCAGTGCCATGTTCCAGTTGCTGCCATGTCCTTCCTTCCCTAAAGGTGGGCTTGGTTGTTCAGGCTGTAAATGGTGGCTCAGCCCCTCGCTTTATCCCCCATCCAGATCTTCCCACTGGGAGAAGGCATGGGAACCTGCAATACTGTCTCTTGGGAGCTGGTCTCAGTTAAGTGAGCAGGGTTGGCCTGTGCCTGCTCTTGGTCTGATGGTGGCAGGCCTGGGACTGGCCACTGTCATCCCCAGTAGCACTTCCAACCCCCTCCCTCAGCCTCACTGCGTGGTGACCTCATTCATCATCCCCTGGCTGATGAGCAGCTCCCATGGCCAGGAGTGAGCTCCCCTTGCTTTGAGGGAGGGGTGAGAGCCCCTGGACAGAGTCCTCATAATCTGAATGCAAGAATTCCCTTCCCAGGAATTCAGATGAAATGGATTTTTTGAATGCATTTTTGAATGAAAT